GGGAAGAGGGGAGGCCAGGCCGGGGCCCAGGCTGGGGCTGCGTCCACAGAGCCATGCGCGGGGTGCCCTCGCGGCCCCCTCTCTTTGGAGCCTTGTCTCAGAGGTTGTCCTTGGTGCTCGTGTCCCATATTCAGGGTGCACATGCAGGCTCATCTCAAGTCACTTGTGGAAATGAGCATGTGGGGGAGGTCACAGCACAGTCCTGTTATCACAAAGACAGAGCAAAAAGTGCAGGACCTTGAAAGTTACTTAAAGTTCCCTGTTTTTGTTGGTGATGGTAGAGTATTTCCTTATTCTTACGTACTCTTATTTTTTATTTTTGTTTTAGAAATTTTCTAACACAGTCTTCTCCAATTCCTCCATATGTAGTGACAACAGTTTTGTATATCAAAGGGCATCTATTTTTCAATTAATATCTTCCTTACTATAATTTTTTCCACATGTATCATTTTTGTTTTAATTGTATATTTGCGTATGCATACACTCCTAACTCATGTGATGCATACATGTGATGAATATACATGCTATAGTTTTTCTTCATGCACGTGTTTTTCATGTTTATCCTCTAGCTCGGCTGTCCACCCCCATCTCAGATGCACACACACTGCTCCCTGCTCATAGAAAGCATATATACTTCCCCACATATTATCAAAGTGAGATCATGTTACATTTCTTCATTTTTCCCTTGTCACTAAAAACAGTTATATTAAGTCCCTATTTATGGATGTTGATTTTGTTCTTTCCTTAGTCACTACACCTACCTAATATATCTCAATGAAGTACTTTTATGTTTGGAGCATATATTGTCAATATTGTTTTTTATTAAATATTGAAGTGTGCTTGTTTTATATATGTATATATATATATATATATATATATATGTGTGTGTGTGTGTGTGTGTATATATAAATAAATATATATATTTATATATATTTTTATTGATTTCAGAGAGGAAGGGAGAGAGAGATAGAAACATCAGTGATGCGAGAGAATCACTGATCAGCTGCCTCCTGCACGCCTCACATTGGGGATTGAGCCCACAACCCGGGCATGTGCCCTGATCAGGAATTGAACCGTGACCTCCTGGTTTATAGGTTGATGCTCCACCACTGAGCCACACCATCCGGGCCTTGTTTTATATTTTACTAGAGGCCCGGTGCACAAACATTTGTGCATTCGGGGAAGGGGGGTCCCTCAGCCCGGACTGTGCCCTCTCGCAGTCTGGGACCCCTCAGGAGATAACGACCTGCTGGCTTAGGCCTGCTCCCGGGTGGCAGAGGGCAGGCCCAATCCCTAGGTGCAGCCCCTGGTTTGGCTCAGAGCAGGGCTGATTGGGGAGTTGGGGCACCGCCCCCTGTCATGCACAGAGCAGGGCGGATCGGGAGGTTGCGATGCCACCCTCAGTCACACTCAGGGTAGGGCTGATTGGGGGGTTGGGGTACTGCCTCCTGTCACACTCAAGGCAGGGTCGATGGGGAGGTTGCGGCGCCACCCCCTGTCACGCACAGAGCAGGGCCAATCAGGGGTTGGGGCGCCGCACCCTGTCACACACAGAGCTGCAGGGTGATCAGGGGGTTGGGGAGCTCCCCCCTATCAGGCACAGGGCAAGGCTGATCAGGGGGTTGGGGCGCCTGCCCCTGTCACGAACAGAGCAAGGTGGATAGGGAGGTTGTGGCCCCGCCCCCTGTCACACACAGAGCTGCAGGGCGATCAGTGGGTTTGGGCGCTGCCCCCGTCACGCTGATCCCGGTGCCGGGAGGCATATTACCCTTTTACTATATAGGATAGAGGCCTGGTGCACAGGTGGGGGCCGGCTGGTTTGCTCTGAAGGATGTCCTGGATCAGGGTGGGGGTCCCACTTGGGTGCCTGGCCAACCTGGGTGAGTGGCTGATGGCTGTTTGCAGCTGGTCACACCCCCTTCAGGGTGGGGGTCCCCACTGGGGTGCCTGGCCAGTCTGGGTTGAGGGCCGTTTTCAGGCTGGTGGGCGACTGAAGCTCCCAACCGTTCCTTTTTTTTTTTTTTTTTTTTTTTTTTTATTCTGGGCCAGCTTTAGCTCTGAGGCTTGGCTCCAGCTCTGAGGCCTCGGCTGCTGAAAGCAGGTATCTGATTTTTTGGGTTCTATAATCGAAACACTGTTTCAACTCCAGCTCTGAGATCCCGGCTGGCTGAAAGCAGGTTTCTGGGGTTTTGTTTAGCTTCTATATTTGTAATAGTGTTTCAAACTGCAAGCTCAGAGGCCAGCAGCGGCAGGCGGGGAACGTTGGCTTCCTCCGTCACTGAAGCAAGCAAGCCTCCTGTTCGCTTCAAGCTGCCTGGCTGCCAGCCGCCATCTTGGCTGACAGTTAATTTGCATATCACCCTGATTAGCCAATGGGAAGGGTAGCGGAGGTACGGCTAATTACCATGTTTCTCTTTTATTAGATAGGATTAGTTGTTGCCAGGCAGATAGTACACTATAGCCACAGGGTATATAGTATAGTCACATTTTTTTATTAGTCAACAATATATGTCCGTTTACCCCCTCTTGCAGTCTTTCTTTAAGTTTTGCCAGCCTGACGGGAACAAGGTAGCTCTTACTGACTGTGTAGCCCTCTGCGTCGGGGTCCCTAGACCCCTGGCCCTCCTTTCAGTGCCTGTGTGGGAGTCGGAGCACTCAGCGTATTGTTGACTCATTGTCACGCTGTGTTCCCGAGAAGGGACCTAAAGCAGAGTCTGCAGACGGAGAAGGGTCATGGGCGGAGGTCTGGTGGGAACCAGGCACCAGCTCCCAGTAGTTTTCTCCCAGTGGAGTCACTCGGGACACACTCACTCCTCCAGCGAGGCATTGCGATGGCACAGATAATGTCCTCAACAGAGGCGGGAGCGTTCCGTGGTGGCACACAGTCACCTCCGCCTAGGACAGAGCCGAGTGCCAGGCTTGCGGGAGGAAGCAGGGGTCTGGAGAAGCCACGCTGCTGCTAGTTCAGGTGCAGAGACCACCTTAGCAGCCACTGGGCTGGGAATCCTTCCGAATCGAATCCTAAGCTCCCAGAGCCAAACCCTCGAAAGCAGGCTTTTCCAAGGAGAGCTAACGCTAGCCTGCTGTGTGGTTTTTTTCTTTCTGTAAAAAGTGGCTTTTATTGAAATACTAGAGTCCCGGTGCACGACATTCGTCCCCTGGTGGGTGGGGGGTCTCTCAGCCCAGCCTGTGCCCTCTTACAGTCCAGGACCCCTCAGGGGATGTCTGACTGCCATGTTAGGGCCGCTCCCGCTCAGCCAGAAGCAGGACTCGCTGATCCTTAGTGCTGCCTCGGAGGCGGAAGAGGCTCCCGCCACCACCACTGCGCTTACCAGCTGTGAGCTCAGCTTCTGGCAGAGCGACCACCAGGGGGCAGCTCCTACATTGAGCCTCTGCCCCCTGGTGGTCAGTGTGCGTCATAGCGACCGGTCAGTCTGTGTTCGGTTGATTTGCATACAGTGGGGCCTTGACTTACGAGTGTCCCAACTAACGAGTTTTTTGAGATACCAGCTGTCTCTCGGCCGATTTTTTGCATTGAGTTGACAGTAATTTGAGTTAACGAGCTCGGTCTCGGAACGAATTAAACTCGTAAGTCAAGGCCCCACTGTATTAGCCTTTTATTACATGGGATAATTTATATACCATACAATTCGCTCATTTAAAGTGGATTTTAGTACATCACATTATCATCACTTCAGAAAGGACCACTGTACCCTTCAGCTGTCACTCCTGGCCCCCACCGCCACAGCCCTCGCTTTCCTATGTTTCCTATGTGAGCAACCACTAACATGCTGTCAGGGTTCTGGACATTTTGAGTGAATGGAATCATGTGCCGTGTGGTCTGTGGTGACTGGCTTCTTTCACTCAGCACAATGTTCTCAGTGTCCTCCATGTCCAGCCGTAAGTCCTTCATCCCTTTTCATGGCTGAATAATATTCCACGGCTTGAACACACAGTTTTTGGGAAGTGTAAGCTCTTTGACTCACATTAAGAGCTGAAAATTCTTGTTTTCTACTAGTTTCATTAGTTTTAAAATGATGTTGCATAGTAACACCTACAAAAATGCTTTATGCTGGATGGATATTGGGCAAATTTTATCCCCTTAACAAGTGGGACCAAATAATCTCTCTCACTTATTGTCAATGTGCAAAACTATTTTATCTTTTTGATTATAATTGACACATATTATATTAGTTTCAGGTGTACAACACAGTAATCCGACATTTCTCTTTCTTACGAGTGATCATGTTAAGTCTGGTGACCATCTTGCACTGAATGGATTACTACCATGTTATTGAGTAGATTGCCTGTGCTATGCGTTACCTCCGGGACTTATTTTAGACCTGGGAGTTTGTACCTCTTAATCCCTTCACCTTTTCGCACATGGCCCCTCTCCCCTCCCACAGGCAACCATCAGTCTGTTTTCTTTCGGGTTTGATGTCACATTGATATTTAAACAATTTTTAATGGTAAACTGTGTTTTCATTTTCATATTTTAGAACGTTAGTTTTAATCTTTTATGATTATAAATTCGACATTTCAAATATGTATTCACTGTGTTCAAATAGTAAAGTAGGGGCTTTCTTGATTAGCCTTTACCTTTATGTAAGCAGTGTTTTTCTCTGTGGTAGAGTTGCTTTGCGGTCACGTGGATGTGCAGTATGGAGTCAGTCACTTTGATAAGTTCACCTGGGAGAGAGAGAGCCTTCTTTCTTACTAAAAGGCCGTAAGGAAAACGAACAACCAAAGGAACCATGTCAGATGCCAGTGTTACATCGTTTTCAAACCATCAAGACAATGGCTTGAACTTTAAAGAAAATTTGTTCATCAACGTTATTTTTAGCAGTTTAAGAAAATACCTTTTTCATCTTAAGCTATACAAATCTCTTTTAAATGTAACACATAAAAACCTTCAGGCCTTGTTCAAAATAGCCTCCCTTTTTCGTTTTCAGAACTTCATGTTCATGCGCCATTTCAGTGGACAAAGTCCTCCCAGTTTGTGGCCGCAGGAAAGCGATGGATGCGGACGCTCAGGGAATTGTCGGAGACTGCAGCGCATCCCAGTGGACACGTCAGGATAGCACCCGTTGCAGCACCGTCTCCCACGAGCATCCCACGCTCAGCTTCCACGCCCACAGAGCCGCGTGAACATGGCGTGGGTGAAGTTCCTGCGGAAGCCGGGCGGCGGCCTGGGGAAGGCCTACCAGCCGGGGAGCCTGCTGTCGCTGGCGCCCACCAAGGGCCTGCTCAACGCGCCGGGCCAGAACAGCTGCTTCCTCAACAGCGCCGTGCAGGTAGGCCCGCTCCAGGCGCCGGCCACGCGGGAGAGGCCTCTCTCCTGTTGCTTCCACTGTACGTTAAGAATAGAGTCAGTGACTGCAATGACCTTGTATCACTTAATGGTGGCAGCAATATGTGGGCTAGGCACTTCGGTTATTATAACAAAAGGAATTTTTTTTCAGCAGGATCAGATATTACTACTATATAAACATATCGTTTGATTTATAGTCACTACTTAGTAAATTAAGAATATGTTTCTCAAATACATAAAATAGTTTTTGAATCAGCTAATTTCCTCCTGTGCCCCCTACACACAAATCCACATACTTTTTAAAAGGAAATCCAGTAGAATCCCCACAGACAGCATAAAAGGAAACAAACCATTTGTGTTGAAACGAGCTGGGGTTTTAATCTCGGTTCCAACTTCCTCACCCCCACTGTGCCGTAGCCCACCTCTGTGGGTGGATTCATGATTGGGACTCCACTGTTTTTGTTAAATTGGAGGTTGGTCCATTTTGCTTCCGTCCTTGTTGCAGTTCTTGTAATTAACACGTATGTGTTAGTCCGCTTTTCTGTCTTAGATGAATGTCCTTCTGTGTGGTATGGCTTCTGTCCCCAGTCCCAGCTTTTGTAGGACCTTGTGTCCTTCCGACCACCACCAAAGAGGATTTAGAAGGTTGGGCTGTTACTCTGTTGACCTCAGAATGTACCTTAGAAGAATTTATTGAAAATAAACCACTTTTCACATATTTTCCATTGCCACTTTTCCCTCCTGACAGCTCAGAGTAGAAAGACAGGTACTGGTTAGTTAGCCCCTTAGTTAAATGAGCCCATCAGGACTGCTCAGACATCTGAGCAAGGATCCGCACAAGGGAAAGGAAATGGAGAAGTGTCCCGATACGATGCACTTTTTAAATGAGCATCCGTGACCTTCCCATGAAGAGGCTCTGCACGTCCTACGCTGCTGCCCTCGCTGGTGCTGGCATCCTGCGTGCAGCCCCGCGTGGCGTCTGCTGGCACCTCTCAGCGTTTCCCGTGGCCCAGGCTGTCGGCCATGAGTTCTGGAGTTCTTGTGTGTCTGGGGAAAACTCAACTTCGTTTTGTTGGTGAAAGATGCTTTCACCACTAAAGGCGTCCGAGTTGCCCGCCTTCTCTTCAGTTCTGTGCAGCTCTCACTCCCTCTCTTTGGCTCACGTTTCTGATGAGAAGCTGTTGTCTTACCTGTCCCTCTGCCTGCGTCCTCTCCTCTCTGTCCCTGGGTGGCCCGGTGGTCGTGTGGTACTTCTGCATCGTCCTCTTCGTGTGTCTTGTATTGGGTTTGCTGAGAACTGGTTTATAATTTTAACCAAGTCGGGAAACTCTGACCATTATGTCTTCAGGTTTTCCTGCCCCTCCTGTGAAGGCTGCACGGACGACACCCTGGCGGCTGTGGCGGGAATGACAGCAGCAGGGGCAGTTGGCACTCGCCTGCCAGCTCTGCCCGGCACTGCGCTCCCACTTTAAAGGCTATAGCTGAGTGCTTGGCCCTTACCAAGAGCCTGTGAGGGCGCGGCAGCCACGGTGTCCCCACGGTAGCGATGTCAGGTTTCTCAGACCGACTTTAAGTACTGGACTGATTTATTTAAACAAGTACAGCCCGCCCCCCCCCCCCCCCCCACTCTCTGTCTTTTAGTAGCAAATGATGACTGGATAGTTGTAGCCAAAGTATTGGGGTTATTTCTAACTGCTCTTCCTACTGGCCACACCCCGTCCCCAGCCAGGCGCCCTCCCCTCAGTGTGGGGGAGAGGCGGCCGCTGCTCGCCCTGTCTTCTCGCTCACCCACGCTGACCCGTTTGCTGCACCCTGGTCTCAAGTCCAGTTGTGTTTCCTCTGAATTTCACTTCGTTCCAAGGATTACAATCACTTCCTCTGTCGTGTCTGCCAAGTCCCCGCAGTACCGTGTGTCCTGCTCATAGAGCCCTGACCTGAGGCCTCCGCCGCCTGCCCGCGCTGCTCAGGCTCCCTGGGGGCCGGGAGCCTCGCGGGGCCGGCTCCTGCTGGTGCTGTCTTGGGGGGGTGGGGGGGGGGTCTGCTTAGAAAGTAAAAAAGGCGGGTTGGTTAAAGGCCGTCTGGTCTGCAGTTTCTAGGACATTTCCGCCTCTTCTCACCGAGTCTCACCGTCTCTCCTGCTCTCGCCGCAGGTGCTGTGGCAGCTGGACATATTCCGGAGGAGCTGCGGGGCCTGACGGGGCACGTCTGCCAGGGCGAGGCCTGCATCTTCTGTGCGCTGAAGGTACCTTTCAGAGCTCCGACGGCTGACGTGGTTGTCTCTCCAAGTGTTTACTTTTACTTGACAGTTTATTTGATTTATTTGCCATATTTGATAGCTCACTTGTAATTAAAGTTCATTGTCAAGTGATTTATAATTCTGAGGATGAATTCTTAAAGTATGGTTTATTTGGGTTTATGTTTTCATTTTTCACTTCTATACAAGGACAGTTAAGTTAATATTCTACATGGTATGGAATTGTTGGGAACATTACCTTTTACTTCAAGCATGTCAAACTTAAAGGCTACCATGGGCCAAATAAACAAGGTTTAAGTTGATGTGGGCCAAAAAAAACGAAAGCTTCAATTTTCATGGAAACATAGGTTTATTTCGATAGAGACATGCTGACTACAAAGGGCTGAAATAAGTGAGTCATCGTTAACATAAAATAACAGAACATTTTAATAAAAACTAATATTTTTCTTGAACATTCGCTTACCAGACACTGAATAACTGCACAAATTAGTAAGCGTAACGCAAATAAACCTATTTTTCTTGTTCTCCGAAAGTGAAATATTTCCTGTTTTGCACACCAAGCAAGTCAGTCCAAGACTAATGCCGTGGCCATTGGCTGCTAAAGTATTCGTTGCTAGGATTAGTGGAGAGAAATGGTGCACCTGTGCGTAAGGCGTGTAAGGGAAATGAATGCAACAAGATTATAGTAATTAGTCATTAGCGAATGTTGTTCGTTATTAATAATTATGTATAGGGGATATTGTAAAAATTAAGTCATGAAATTTTAATTGAAACGTTTCTTACATACTGTTATATTGGCTGGGCCGCAGAAATATTCATTGTGGGCCATGTGTGGCCCATGGGCTGTGAGTTTGACATGCTCATTTTACATTATTTTGAAACTTAGTTTTTTTGTTGTTTTTTTTTTTAAATATATTTTTTATTGATTTTTTTACAGAGAGGAAAGGAGAGAGATAGAGAGTCAGAAACATCGATGAGAGAGAAACCTCGATCAGCTGCCTCCTGCACATCTCCCACTGGGGATGTGCCCACAACCTAGGTACATGCCCTTGACTGGAATCGAACCCGGGAACCTTCAGTCCGCAGGCCGACGCTCTATTGACTGAGCCAAACCAGTTTCGGCTTGAAACTTAGTTTTAAAATGTTTTTTGAACTCCTAAATTCTGGATGCCAGGGAAATAGCAGTGAACAGAATGATACAGCCCTGCTTTCATGGAGCGTCTATTCTAGGGAGGGGAGGCATATCAGATGATAGTAACTGCAAATGAGGGCAGGGGACCAGGAAGGGGATAGAGTCGAGCAGCAGGAAGCCTCGCTGGGAGAGTGGCATTTAAATTATGACCTGAAAGGTGACAGTGGACTGGATGTTCAGGCGGACAGGGCCCTGAGGGGCCGTGAGCATGACAAGGTCCTGGAGACCTGGCTGCAGCCACTGTGTGGGCGCGGGTGCCCGGGAGCTCAGGTGGGGAGCAGTGATCACAGCCTGGGGTGCCCAGGGAGCTCAGGTGGGGAGCAGTGATCACAGCCTGGGGTGCCTGTGAGCTCAGGTGTGGGGAGCAGTGATCACAGCCTGGGGTGCCCAGGGAGCTCAGGTGGGGAGCATTGATCACAGCCTGGGGTGCCCGGGAGCTCAGGTGGAGAGCAGTGATCACAGCCTGGGGTGCCCGGGAGCTCAGGTGTGGGGAGCAGTGATCACAGCCTGGGGTGCCCGGGAGCTCAGGTGGAGAGCAGTGATCACAGCCTGGGGTGCCCGGGAGCTCAGGTGGAGAGCAGTGATCACAGCCTGGGGTGCCCGGGAGCTCAGGTGGAGAGCAGTGATCAGAGCCTGGGGTGCCCAGGGAGCTCAGGTGGGGAGCATTGATCACAGCCTGGGGTGCCTGTGAACTCAGGTGTGGGGAGCAGTGATCACAGCCTGGGGTGCCCGGGAGCTCAGGTGGGGAGCAGTGATCACAGCCTGGGGTGCCCGGGAACTCAGGTGTGGGGAGCAGTGATCAGAGCCTGGGGTGCCGGGGAGCTCAGGTGGGGAGCAGTGATCACAGCCTGCCTGTGGAGTCCTCTGTGCCCCTCCTATAAACGTGTCTGGTCCCTGAATGTGTGCTGCCTGCACCTCCATCCAGGACATAGGATGTGGCTGCGGATGCTGCAGGCCTGAGGCGAGGAGCCTGGAGAAGGTGCCAAGGCTCCACCCGGCTCTGTCTGGCAAGTGGTTATCCTCAGAGGGCTGTGGTCCAGGGAGGAAGCCAGGCTGGCACCACAGCCCACCAGTGGGCAGCACCAGCAGCTGCCCGGCGTCAGTGAGGGACTCGAGTCCATTCCTAGTGCCAGGCTGTGCCACAGGCCTCCTCCAGAGCAGGGTTGAGCTGTCCCCAAGTTCAGATTTGTGCCCTAAGCGAGGCCGACTGTCAGTAACAGCGGGGGGTTCACCATGGAGTGATACCTAACGCACAGGAGGCGGGGCACGGAGGGCCTTCCCGGCCTCTGTGAGGACCTCGGCTTTTCCTGTGCATGATGCCAGGAGTTGGGGTCCCTGGCATAGAGGGTGATGCCATCTGTTTTAACTGGATCCTGTGTTTGGACTCGACTTGGCTGTAGGAATGAGAATAAAGAAAAGAGATACAAGGCAGAAGCAGGGAGTCCATATAGAATCAGCGGTTCTCAACCTGTGGGTCGCGACCCCTGAAAATACATCCTGCATATCAGATATTTACATTACGATTCATAACAGTAGCAAAATTACAGTTATGAAGTAGCAACGAAAATAATGTTATGGTTGGGGGTCACCACAACATGAGGAACTGTATGAAAGGGTCTCGGCATTAGGAAGGTTGAGAACCACTGAATAGATTAAGCAGCTCATTGATGTCATTGAAATCCTGTCCTGGAATCTAAGATTTTATCAGCACTTTTTTAAAAAATCGATTTTAGAGAGAGGAAGGGAGAGGGAGAGAGAGAGAGAAATATCAGTGATGAGAGAGAATCATGCATCGACTGCCTCCTGCACACCCCACACCGGGGATCAAGCCTGCAACCCGGGCCTGTGCCCTGACTGGGAACCGAACTGTGAGCTCCTGGTTCATAGGTCGACGCTCAACCACTGAGCCACGCCGCCCGGGTTGTTAACACTACTGAGTTCCTGCTGTTTTTCGTGTGATTAGATGTTTGTTCTTGGTTAACATAATTTTAATTCCTATGGTACTCTTTTGATTCAGAACTTCAGACTCAGCGGGGAGCAGTGTAACGCGGGCCTCACTCAGGCACACGCAGCCGGGAGAATCCAGGCCGGGCCCGAGCAGCCTGCCCGGTTCTCCTGCATGCGGCGCTCTGGTTTCCGCGGGTAGCGTTGGTGTCACCATGTCGGAGTGAGATATGGACGTGTTTGCAGTTGTTGGCATTGCGCTCACATCTGTGCTTGTGGTTCGCAGACCATGTTTGCTCAGTTTCAACACAGCCGGGAAAAGGCCCTCCCATCGGACAACGTGCGGCGCGCCCTGGCCGAGAGCTTCCGGGACGAGCAGCGGTTCCAGCTGGGCCTCATGGACGATGCGGCCGAGTGCTTTGTAAGGACTGGGAGCCTCCTGCCCGAGCTCGAGTCCTGTCCCCTAACTGCCGGCTCGCACACAGTAACACGGTCACAGCGCGGAGCGTCAGAGCCCTTGCAGCTCAGTCGGGGCTCCGTGCACCTCTGGTTTTGCCCTTGGTGATGCTCCAAGTTTTACTGAGTGTTAGGGGACTAGGGCAGTGGTCAGCAAACTGCGGCTCTTCCACAAAATACCACGTGGGGGCGCGCACATGCAGTGCGATTGAAACTTTGTGGCCACACTCAAGGGGCCAAAGAGCCGCATGTGGCTCGTGATCACGGGACTAGGGTATTTCAAAATGTATTTGTTGGAGCAAAAAGGTTCATTCAATTGAAGATATCACTTCAGCCGGCGCCCCCCTCCCCCCCCCCCCCGGGCCTGCAGGTGCGCACAGCCGGGGAGCCCGTCTAGTGGGCAGTGACTCGGGGCAGCAGGGCTGGCACGCACCCCCTGGCAGGTTGAGAGGCCCGGCAGGGGGAGGCCCTGGGACTGTCGCGCGTGGATGAGCAGAGCGTCCAGTGGTCCGTCATGGACCCTCTGCACCTTCCTCGGTGTGTCAGTGAGAGATGCTGCCTGTATGTGAGACACAGCTGCTGCTTCCGTCCTTGCATCCAGTCAGCAACTCCCCCCCCCCCGCCCACCCCTCAGGGCCCTTGTAGGGTTCTCCTTTCTCACGTTTTCCTGTCCCCCCTTCCTGCCACAGGTTCCAGTGACGCCTCCTGTCTAGTGGCCTTTCAGTCTGGCCCCTTACAGTCTGATTATTTAAAAATATATTTTTATTGATTTCAGAGAGGAAGGGAGAGAGAGAGAGAGAGAGAAACATCAGATGAGAGAGAATCATTGATCGGCTGCCTCCTGCATGCCCCCTACTGGAGATCGAGCCCACAACCCGGGCATGTGCCCTTGGCTAGAAATGATCCCGGGACCCTTCCGTCTGCAAGCTGACGCTCTATCCACTGAGCCACACCAGCGAGGGCCTTACAGTCTTTTTTTTTAATGGCCCTGGTTAATACCATTTTCTTCTGTCTAATGCTTGCTCTCCTGATACTTCTGTGACTCGAGTCTAGACTCTCTCCTGACACGTAAGGCCCTTCAGTTGAACTGCAGGCCCTCGCTCTGCGTCCCCTGGACTGTCCCTGCTAGTGAGTGGTCACAGTCCCCTTTCGCAGCCTTTGCTCAGGGCCCCGAAATACTCACAGCGTCTGATGTATTCAGTTGTCCAGGCGTGGCCTCAGTCGGGCCTGCTGGACATGGCAAGGTCACCGCCCCGTAGTGCCCTGGGTGTCTGTTGTTGTCTTTAGAGCGCATCTTCTCAGCTCCTTGCCTGGGGGGCTGCTCAGCACACGTGCCACGTTGACTAAACGCCTAGAGCAGCACACACAGCATGACATGGGCTTTTCCGGTTCTCACCTTCATCATCGGTCCGTGCTCTAAACACTGGGCACAGTACTGAGATCTGTAGTTCACTTCACTGACAGGTACTAACACATGATACGACAGCTCATGGAGACCTAGCAGTCCAGGCTTGATAACTGTTTTCAAGGTGGTTGAAGGGATCCATTATTCACGCTTTGAGAAAAGAGGGTGATTTGTTGAAGTAAATGCCTTGGTGATGTTAGACCTGAGCTGTCCCATGAGCCTATGGGGAGCACACCCCTGCGTGGTGAGTTGCAGGTGTTATCATTGCATGGACCATCCCGTGGACGTGAGTTACGTGGACTGTCCACGTGAGCCACGTAGGATTGTGTTTCTTAATTAACAGGAAACATAGGAAACTGTTCTCTGGTATTAAGTCCTAGATGTCAGCTACCATAACTTGATTTTTAAAATCTTTATTAAAACCATACATTGTTTTTTTCGTTAAATTTATGAAATGAATGTTTCTTTTTATTTGATTGTCTTAAGCTGACGCCACAGGTGGTGAACAGTTGACCAACATTCGAGGTGTCATTAGCAGGAAAGCTGGCAATAAGTAGGGCAGTCCTAGTCCAGCCTGGGAAACCGTAAAAGGCTTAAGTCCGTGAGGTTATAAAGAGAAGTGTCTCTGCCAGATTCACCGCTCACCTGTCTTCTGCTTTTGAACCAGGAAAACATCTTGGAGAGGATCCACTTCCACATCGTGCCCAGCCGGGACGCGGACATGTGCACCTCCAAGTGCTGCGTCGCGCACCAGAAGTTCGCCATGACGCTGTACGAGCAGGTGAGGCTCCGACCTCGCTCCTTAGATGCTGTTTGTGTTCCACGAGCCATGCATTAAGCGTCTGTTTCTGCCGCAGTGCGTGTGTTGTAGCTGTGGGGCCTCATCAGACCCTCTGCCTTTCACAGAATTCGTGCAGTACATTTCGACGACAGCCCTGTGGTAAGAACCGGAAAGCACCTTCACCAAAGCTTTACTAGCACAGCGCGGCCCAGCGAGCATTTACTTTGTAAGCCCACCGCACCCGTGAGTATCTGCTCTCTGTCTGGGACTCGGGCTGCGGCCATCGGAGGTACTCAGTGGTGTCTGTCTTAGTCGGGTGTTTCTGAGTTAGCCAGATGCACCCACCACTTAGTGAAATGTGCAAAACATGAGTCAGATGCATGCCTGTTCACATCTAGAGCAAGTCTTTGGAACTGCGCAGGAGGGCTGGAAATGACCAGCAGCCTGGCCGTGTGGCTCAGTGGTTGGGTGTTATCCCATGCCCTGAGAGGGTGCTGGTTTGATTCCTGGGCAGGGCACATGTGTGGGCTCGATTCCCCATGGTGGGCGTGCAGGAGGCAGCGGATCGCTGATCTGCTTTCACATAGATGTTTCTCTCTCTACTCCTTCCTCTCTCTCTCTAAAAATCAACAAAATTATATTTTTAAAAAACGACAAGCGAGTGGTGAGGGAGCTGCACATGACCGACTCCCTGACTTCGGCAGGTGTGACCTTTGTAGTGGCCGTGTCCCCTGTGAGCCCCGCGTGTGCCCCCGTGGTGAGGGAAGCGGGGTAAGCAGGAAAGAAAGGAAACAGTGAACACAATCCTCGATAGGTCTGCGGCCGGAAGGCCTCACCATCACGTGGGATAGGAATTTGCCTGGCTTGCCCGCCTGCTCCGCTCTGCGTGCCCAGGAAGCAGTACTAGTTAGGGACCCAGAAGTATCCCCAGACTTCACACAACCACCATCCCTTGAACACTCCCAGCAGGCAGAGGAGAGAATGCTATGTGCTGTGTGTGTGCAAACACTGACTAAGGTCACAGATGCTGCAGGTGTTTTAGTGCAGAAGCCAAAGGGGGTCGCTGACCTCAGATCCGTCGCTGGTTACTCAGGCCGCAGTGTCTCCTGCAGTGAGGCGGCGCTCCTCGTCTACCCGCCCCGTTAGGCCTCCTCTGGGTGCAGCACAGCCGTTCCTAAACGCTGTTGGGCAATAGCAACTGGGTTACTTGTGTGTGTTTAGCATCTTGCTTGTCTGTACAGAGTTGGGGGGACGTCGGTTTAGAGAAACATTCCCTGAACTTGAGTCATTTGCGGCTGGTTTGTTCTCTTTGCATGAAGCGTAGGGTGGTTTGGAACAGGAGAGCCGCACAGAGGGAGGGCGGTAAGCCTTCGCTTGGCAGCTCCTGTGCGCACGTGTCCCTGAGCAGTCGCCGAGGCCGTACAAACTAGCGCTCCGCCCGTGCGCCCTGGCCTGCGCCCCAGGTTGCAAGAGCCCAGACTGAATTCTGATAGTCTCCTTTGTGGGCATTGAGGATTGAGGATCACGTATTGAATGCTTACTGTGTTCCAGGCTTTCCATAAATTGTCACTTTAATCTTGACAACAACACTGTTTCGTTGATGAGGAAACAGGTTTAATAAGGTTGATCTGATACATAGACCAGTTAAGATGGAAAGCCAGGTGGGTTTCATTTCCAATTCAGTATTTGGCTGTCCACGCCCCCCACAGCCGGGTCTGATGCACTGTCAGCGTTCGTGCTCTCTGTGCACGGTGAGCTGTGTGAGAAGGAGGGTGCTTTAGCTGTGGCTGAGTATTGTGTGCTGTTTACCGCTGACCTGTCAGTATGTCCTGCCCTGGGACACTCACATTAAATAGAGCCAGGGCGTCTGGAATGGAGAGGAAGGGTACTTGAGCCACATTGCAGTCTCTTGGAAATGCTTAAATACTTGCCTAAAGACACTTGATGCGTGTATGTAAAAGGTGACTCCAGGGGAGGCTGAATAGAAAGTGGCAGGCACCTGCGGCCCTGATGACATGGCGAGCGTGCCCGAGGGGAGTGGGAGGTGCGGCCACCCACATGACTCTGGCTGGCCTTCCCAGCGGGCAGCCTGCTCTCAGCTGGAAGGAACTGCCCCTGGGAGCCTTGGGCCAGAGAGGGAGCCTGCCGCAGCCTGTTAGGTCCGAGTCTATACTCACACCCTCAGTAACTGCTGTCGTAATCCAAGTCATAATGTAAAACAGATATTTGACTCACAGCTGCCTTTAGACAGCATCTCACCTCGTTCGTGTAGTTCCAAACAGTGCTGTATTTTTTGTGCTTTTCCATTCTTGACCTGATTTTTTATCACGTACCTGCCAAATTTCATGGTTTTCACTTTATGGAAATTTATGGTTAATTTTTTATACAAAATCATGTTTTAAGACAGAAAAAGTGATCCTGCATATATTGATAACTTAGTATTTTTCATACGTAATTTCATACATAGGCCAGATTTGGGACTGCTGCTTTCTTTTGTAGCAATGAAGTTGGAAGAATGATGGACAGGCATGAGCGTGTGAGGCCCGAAATGTTTGCGGAGTTGTTGCAAGCAGTGAATACCACGGATGACTATCGCAAGTGTCCTGTAAGCACAGTTTGGGGCTCTCAGTGGTTTCTGTGTGTGCACTTAAAGGAGTCATTCAGAAGTTACTATGTCATTTAATTGTCTATGGAATTACTTTTAAGAATTTGTTTTTGCAATGTTATTTTAGGCAACTATACCATGCGAGCTGTTTATCTCAGTACTAGTTCTTTAAACACTCAAAATTGGAAGGATTTAAGGTAGCATATGTAAATTTTTTTTTAAGTTCAGAAATCTATCTTTTCACTAAAGACACAATTTCTTTTTTTTTCTTTGAACTTTACAAATGGTATTCTTTTCTGATGTACTATTATTAATCATTTCAGGGGTTCTATTTTGGATTTTTTTAGACTGAATTCTTGTTTTAACATATTTACAAAAATACTGAAGAAAAGCACTTTGATGTAAAATAAACTTCCTGTTTAGTCAATAATTAAGAGAAATAGCTTGGGAGAAGTTTATTTTAATATGCTAAAGAATAAATTTGCAATGCATGTTAAGAGTGTGACTGCATCATGCAAACTATATAAGGTGCCACCTGTGGTCTGTCCGTTTCAGTAATTCCTAAACTTGCCTTTTGTGGTTTTCTTTAGAGTAACTGTGGCCAGAAAATAAAGATCCGCCGCGTCCTGATGAACTGCCCGGAGATCGTCACCATCGGCCTGGTCTGGGACTCCGAGCACTCGGACCTGACCAGCGACGTGGTTCGGAGCCTGGCCACGCACCTCTCTCTCCCCGGGGTATCTCCGCCTTTCCTTCTCCCTTCTCTCGGACACACATGCAGCGGCCGCTTTTCAGAACTAAGTGTTCTTTCTCAGGGAAGGAGGTTCAGTGGAACTCTCTGGAGCTGCCCCAGTCAGGCTAACTGGACTTCCTGAGAGCCCAGGCCGGGAGGGGCTTTCGCTTCTCACTGTCTCCTGCTGCGGCTCTTGTCACGCCAGAGCAGCGGTTCTCAACCTGTGGGTCGCGACCCCTTTGGGGGTCAAAGGACCCTTTCACAGGGGTCGCCAAAGACCATCGGGAAACACATATATAATTACATATTGTTTTTGTGATTAATCACTATGCTTTAATTATGTTCAATTTGTAGCAATGAAAATACATCCTGTATATCAGATATTTACATGACGATTCATAACAGTAGCATAATTACAGTTATGAAGTAGCAACGAAAATAATGTTATGGTTGGGGGTCACCACAACATGAGGAACTGTATTAAAGGGTCACGGCATTAGGAAGGTTGAGAACCACTGCTCTAGAGTGATGGTGATGTGGTCATAAGTGTAAATATGAACTGCTGGCTTATATGCTTTTACCATCTTAGTTAACTATTTTGAATTGGTTGATGTTACAATGAAACTTTTAGAAAATTATCTTTTAAGGGACAAGTTTAATGTGTGTTCAAATATGTGATTCAACCAAGAACTATCAGAAAATGGGTGATTTATTTCATATTTTGAGTCTGTAGATGTAACGTGTCAGTTCTGTTGGAGACACCGTATTACTGAGCTAAAGTCAGTGACTTCCTGTACTGCTCCTGACGGGTGATGGAAGTGTAACTGGGGGAGCGAGCAGGGCCACGGTGTCTTCACACCGGGCAGTGCTGGGTGGACAGCACGCCTGGCAGTTGCTGTTCATGGGGATTCAGAAGCATGATAGCACATCACTGCTCTTCACTTTTAAGGATACAGTCCTAAATTACTAATTTTCCAAACAGCTTTTTTATAGGGTTACTGATGAAAATGCCAAAAACAGTGAACTTCACCTCGTCGGTCTGATCTGCTACACCAGCCGGCACTACTGTGCCTTCACATTTCACACCAAGAGTTCCAAGTGGGTGTTTTTCGATGACGCAAATGTGAAAGAGGTAGGTGACACTTCTGTGAACTGGGATGCTTACTGTGGTTTATGCTCTTTAGGAATAAATGATGTAATAATGACCTATAATAATAAAAGCATAATATGCTAATTAGACCAGATATCCTTCCGGATAACCTTCTGGATGAAGCTGGGGCTGCGATGGAAGCCCGAGTCCCGGGTGCCTGCTGGCAGCTGGAGGAAAGCTGGTGCCGGCAGCCGGGAGAAGGAAGGCCTACTCTTGCACAAATTTTGTGCTAGGGCCTCTAATATTAATATAATAGTGACAGTGATAAAAGGAACGTATCTATATATATAAAAGCCTAAGTGACCGAACAACCGGTCGCTATGACACGTAATGACCACCAGGGGTCAGGCGCTCAATGCAGGAGCTGTATCCTGGGGGTCAGTGCACTCCTACAGCTAATCTCCCATGGCCGGCCAACCTCCCGCTGTCCTTCCCTACCTCCCAGCCAACGGACCCCACCCATGCACAAATTCGTGCACCAGGCCTCTAGTAATTATATAGAATGATTATTAGATGTAAATGCTTATATAAAATAATAAATGATTTTAATGACAGTTCTTGGAATCCTTTTATTAGTTTTTGAAATCAGGTTTGTTTTGAAGCTGACTCCATATCTAGAATAATAAAAGGCGACAAATAAATATTAGTGTAGCTACCAGGGATCCATATGCACCATCCTTCTGTCTGATACACAAAAGCTTTGGACAGTTCATCAGAGGAGACAGGTGAACAGCCCTTACACTGATACTCGGCCTGATTGGGCACAAAGAAACACGCTCAGTTCACAGTGAGGTTCAGACTCAGCTGTTAGGAGGATAAATTCCAAAGCCCGACCTCACCGGGAGTGTGGAGGGCGTCAAGCAGCCAGGTCCCTGACACAGGAGCATGCAGTGCCGACCTCACCAGGAGCCTGGAGGGCATCAAGCAGCCAGGTCCCTGACGCAGGAGCATGCAGTGCCGACCTCACCTGGAGCCTGGAGGGCAGCAAGCAGCCAGGTCCCTGACGCAGGCGCGTGGCAGTGCCGACCTCACCAGGAGCCTGGAGGGCGTCAAGCAGCCAGGTCCCTGACGCAGGAGCATGCAGTGCCGACCTCACCGGGAGCCTGGAGGGCATCAAGCAGCCAGATCCCTGACGCAGGCACGTGGCAGTGCCAACCTCACCGAGTGTGGAGGGCAGCAAGCAGCCAGGTCCCTGACACAGGTGTGTGGCAGTGCCGACCTCACCGGGAGCATGGAGGGCGTCAAGTACCCAGGTCCCTGAAACCAGCGCGTGGCAGTGCCGCATGGAGCAGCCACCTTAGAGAGGTGTGTCAGCTTCGTGCACACGTAATCTTACCATGCAGCCAGCAGCCAGCAGCGCCTCTCCCCGAGGACGTGTCCATACACAGCCTGCCCTTGAGTGTCCGTGGGAGTTTTATTCCTGTAACCCCACTGGGACCCCCAATGTCCATCAGCAGGTGAGCAGATACCCACGTCACGGTCCAAGCACACAGTGGAGCTTGATGCCCATCAGACAGAAATGAGCTGACACGTGTAGAACATCCTAAACCATTGTGCTGATGACAGAAGCGAGACACGGCCAAGTACGGATTCCACTGACACAGAATTCCCTGACAGGAGGAAACAGTGACGGAAGGCCCTGCAGAGGGAGCGAGGAGTGAGGCTGCGTGCCTGTGCACACTCGTCAGAACGCGTGGGCTTGCCGTGTGCCTGGGAGGTTGTAGTTCATGTGATTATGCTCAGTAAAGCCAACGGGAAATTCTGGTGCTTATGTTCTGAAAGCAGCGTTTGCTCGGATTTCTTCAGGCTTTGCTATAGCAGCGTATTAAGAGGCTTCACCTGCGTCCATGGGTAGACCTTTTGGCCGTCCTACTTGGCACCCACATCATTTAAATTGTCAAAGCTCAAAGGAGGACATGGGTGTGCAGTCACCTGTGAGTTTATATTTGCTTTGCTTTCAAGTTAATCTAGTTCCTCGAGTATGTCAGCGTCCCAGGCGAGGAGGGTCAGCAGCTAAGCGTGTAGTTTGAAAAATTCTTCAGACTTCTTTACAGCCCTCCCTTCCCTGCAGAAGCCAACATTCTAGAACGCATCGGTTCCTGTTTGGTTCTGTTTTGTTTTTAAATCAGCATTATAGAGGTACTAGAGGCCCAATGCACGAATTTGTGCACAGGTGGGGTCCGGCCAGCCCAGCCCCAATCAGGGCCCAATCAGGGCTGGGCTGGCTGGCGTGGGGCGGGGCTGTGGGCCAGCTGACCCTCCCCCAATTGGTGTGTGGGGGGGGGGTGGATTGGGGGAGGGCTGCGGGAGGTTGGCTGCCAGCCCTGCCCCTGATCAATGTGGGGGGCTGGTAGGGGGTGGGGCTGGCTAGGGGAGGGGCTGTGGGCTGATTGGGGTTGTGGGGACCCATTGGGGGTGGGGCTGACAAGGGGGAGGGACCACAGGCGGTTGGCCAGCTGTCCCCGCCCCTAATTAGGGTTGGTGGGGCAATCGGGGGCAGCCAGCCGGGGGGAGGGGCCGCAGGAGGTTGGCCACTGGCCCCACCCCCCAATCAGCCAGTTCACTGGCTTCAGTGGGCGTCATAGCAACCGGTCATTCCGGTCATTACAGTGTTCCGGTCGCTGGCTTTTTATATATATAGGTAATTTACAAACGTTAAAATGTACCCGCGTAAGTGTTTGGCAACTGTACACACATCTGTGTAACCTCCACACCATATAGCACAAAGCATACCCCACCCCCCTCATGATGTCACGTTCCTGTTGGCCCCTCCCACCCCGCCCAGGAATCCCGGATGCTCTGTAGATTAGTTCTGCTCCCTCTTCAGCATCGTGGGATGGCCTTCCCCGTACACATCCCTCTGAGGCTGGCTTGCTTCGCCAAGCACATGCCTTTTAGGATTCACACGTGCGGTGTTCCATCCTGCGGCTGTATGGAACAGGGTCCTGTGAAGGTAGGAAGAGTCGTGGTGTGAACACGTTTTTCCGTTGCTCCCAGCACCAGGTGGGATGTCTGGGTGGTCTGCTAAGTGTGCAGTCAGCTGTATGTGAACTGACAATGGCTGTCCACAGACACTGCGCATCTCCCTCCTCCCAGCAGCCCTCCCTCGTAGCGCCCCCTGCTGGGAGTCTCTTACGTTAGCCTTCCAGGGACCCTAATGTTGCCTCACTGTGGTTTTCGTTCACTTCCCTTTGATTAACAATAATGTTTTGAACAACTCTTCCTGTGCTTACTGGCCATTCCTATGTCTCTTTAGTGACATGTCACTTCAGATAATTTGCCCATTTTTCAAATTGGATTATTTTCTCCTTACTGAGCTGTAGGAGTTCAGTATCCGGCACAGCCCTCCTTTATTATATATAGGTGGGGTTTTTGTTTTATTTTTTCCGTTTTGTTAATGGTGTTTTTCATGGAGCAGAAGTTATTCATTCATTTCATGGAATCCAATTTTATATTTTTTCTTTGGTTTGTTTGATGTCCCTGAGATTAATGTTTTCTCTCATTTTCTTCTGTAAACTCGAGAGATTTTATGTGACTCCTGAGTTCATTATTGGGCTTCAGGTGTAGTTATGTCTTCTTTTCTTTTTCCTCCCATTGCTGTAGCATCGTTTGTGGTATCAACTTTTATATTTCCCCATTAAACTCCCTTTAATCGTTGCCAAAAGGCAGTTGACCATGTGTGTGAGAAAAGCTTTCTAAAATTCGCTAATCCAAATCTTGATAGTGTATAATTTTGCCCATCAACTTTTTAATGTTTAAAGATTTTTAATTAGACTTATTAAATAAAATAAAGTTAATCATATAACACAGCGCACAGTTGAACGGCTGGTTTAACGGCATCTGAATGTCGTTAAACATCTTTAATATGCAAATTATTTCAGCCCCTGCCTTTTCGGGTAACAGGTTGCTGACAGGCTTGGTTTTGCTCCCTGTGGTTTTATAAAGGTGGGAACAAGATGGAAGGACGTGGTCTCCAAGTGCCTCCGGTGCCACTTCCAGCCCCTGCTGCTGTTTTACGCCAACCCCGACGGCACGGCGGTTTCCACCGAAGACGCGCTCAGGCAGGTCGTCAGCTGGCCACATCAGAGACCCGGGGTGGAAAATATGGGTAATTCTTTGCCTTTTAGTGTTTTTCTTTCTAACAGTCATACTAGGAATACTAATATCCTATGTAATAAAAGGCTAATATGCAAATAGACCGAATGGTGGAATGACCGGTAGGAGCTGCCCTCTGGTGGTCAGTGTGCTCCCACAGGGTGAGTGCCGCTCAACTAGAAGCCAGGCTCATGGCTGGCGAGCACAGCGGCGGGTGGTGGCGGGAGTGCTAAGGATGTCTGACGGCTTAGGCCCCTGAGGGCTCCCGGACTGTGAGCGGGTGCAGGCTGGGCTGAGGGGACTCCCCCAGTGCAAAAATTTTGTGCACCGGGCCTCTAGTACTGAATATAAAATGAAGGTTGAGGATAATTTAAAAATTTAGTTTCAGGTGGAGTTCAGGAAGATTCTAATACATTGAGTTAATCTTTATCATCTTTCCTGACCAGTGGCCTCACAGGCCCCCCTGGGAGCCACCCACGACAGTGGCCACACAGGCACAGAGGGGCTGCCCGCTGCGAGCTCTTTCTAGCAGGAGGCATTGGTATTGAAGGTGAGGTAGCCACCGGAATGCCCAGAGCAGCGAGGGAGTCTGTGTGCATTCACGGCACTTAGAAATCCTTGGAAGATGTCAGTCCTCTGAGTTTTAGTAATTGTCTACAGTATTAAAAGCATCTGAAAGGATGACTCAGACATCTGTTCTGGAGGAGGAGGAAAGGGATGATGCATTTGTGCTTGTCTTTTAAGGATCTGAAAGGCCCTCGATTTATAAGTCAGATAATTCCAAAGAGAATGGATTTGGTGATCAGGACAAACAGAGAGAAAATCAGAAATTTCAAACAGATGACATTTCATCCTTCAGTCGGAGCCACATCCCGGCGAGCGGTGGCCGAGGAGCAGGTATGTGTTTCAGTTGCCGTCTTCACAGTCCCTGAGGAGACACGCTGGCCCGGCTTCACTTCCTGACTCACTCCTGGCAGGGACCAGGCGACAGTAACAAGCAGCAGAAAAACTGCCTTTCCATTGATGCGCGTCTGAGACGTGTGGCCTCATCGGGACAGTTGGACCCGACCAGGGCCCGAGTTTCTCCACGGCTCCCAGCCCTCACAGGCTGGAGGCAGTCTGGACTGTTACCAAAACTGTGGCCTCTCCTTCAGGATGGCCATTGCCAACTTGAGAGGAAAAACAGTTAACCATTCGGCTCACATGCCAGAATTAAATTTACAATTAGTGACTACAGTGGCAGTTCAAAGCTACAGTCGAGTTTGTTCTTATCCTCTTGTTATTCGGCTCTCCTGTTATTGTTATCCCACAACTTTAATTTTCACAACCCGAGTTCAGTGACAGGTCTGGAGTGAGACCTCAGTGCGGTGTGCAGCACTGCTCAGAGACACCCTGACTCTACTTGGGTGGCTGTTCAGGATGCTTTGTAAGCAACTTTTTAAAAAAATTGTTGTTGTTAATCCTCACCTGAGGATATTTTTTCAAGAGAGAGTGGAAGGGAGGGGGAGAGACAGAGAGAGGGAAACATTGATGTGAGAAAGACACATTGATTGGTTGCTTCCCACACGAGCCCCAACTAGGGCTGGGGATTCCGGGGCCTTCAACCGAAGTATGTGCTCTTGACAAGAATCAAACCTGGGACCCATCAGTCCACAGGCCTACACTCTATTTTTGTTTTGTTTTTAAAATTGATTTCAAAGAGAGGAAGGGAGAGGGAGAGAGAATTAGCCATCAGCTGCTTCCTGCATGCCTCCTACTGGGGATTAAGCCCATGGGAATCGAACCATGACCTCCTGGTTCATGGGTTGACACTCAACCACTGGCCACACCAGCCGGGCAACTTTTTAATATATTAGTGAAGTAATGTTTAACCAAAAAGGTAACCCATAATCAAGGAAGGTAAGATTCAGAATTAACAGTTACCATCAACAAAGAAGTACACTAAGTGCTTTTTAAAATTCTAAATGGAAACATACCGTTTCCCTCTTATGTATTGTTGATACTTTAGATTAAGCCATTATTTGTTTTTCTAAACATGCCTAGTTTAAGCCCAGGAACTGTGTGTGTGTAAACACATACGTTGGCATCAGACAGCTTGGGGCTGTCTGTGTCTACATTGTGAGCGATGTGAACTTGCAGGTTCGTTACTTCTGCTTCCCGATCCCAGATGGAGCTGTACTTGTGCTCATCTCGAGATGGAAGTGAGTTAGGACACGTGGCGCCCAGCACCAGCCTTTAGGTCTTACATTTCAGTAAAAGCTCAGTCTCCTGCACACTCACTAGATGCTTGACAACAAGTTTTAAAGGTAACACGCATCTCCATTGCCAGGAGACATCACACTAACTTGATTTAGTTAAACATAAAAATGAGTTTACTCTTACTTTAATGCATGTTTTGTTGTTAACACAGAGCGTCTTAAATGTTTCATACAGTGCAGTTTGTGTGCGTAGTGAGCAGTTAGAAAATGATGTGCTTCCTGACTGGACGACTGATTTCCCCTACAGCTAAGCCGGGACCCAGCGACGCCCGCGAGAAGATGAAGGGCCTCTCCAGGGAGTGTGCCCTGAAGGCACTGGAGCAGAGGCGCCTCCTGTGCTCGCACAGGAGGGGCGTGGGTCGGCACCGAGGTGAGCCACGGGCGGGCAGCGCGCGTTGGTAAGGGGCCCTAAAGCCTTATCGGAACACTACATTTTATAGCTTGAATACAGTTTAACCATCCTATCCTATATAATAAAAGGGTAATATGCAAATTGACCAAAAGGCAGAACGACTGGTCGCTATTACACACACTGACCACCAGGGGGCAGACACTCAATGCAGGAGCTGCCCCCTGGTGGTCAGTGCGCTCCCACAAGGGGAGTGCTGCTCAGCCAGAGGCCAGGTTCACAGCTGGCGAGCGCAGCGGCGGTGGCAGGAGCCTCTCCTGCCTCTGCGGCAATGTTAAGGATGTCCTACTGATTGGACATCCCCTGAGGGCTCCCAGATTGTGAGAGGGTGCAGGCCAGACTGAGGGACCACTTCCCCACCCCTCGAGTGCACAAATTTCGTGCACCAGGCCTCTAGTTTTAAATATATGTATCTGTTTATATGTCATATATCTTAATATGATTTCTCTAATACACCTGTTGAACTTGTAGATGTAAATTTTCCTCGTTCTTGTTTCATTCTAGTCTGGAATACGTTGCTGTTTTAGCTTTTAATTCAAAGTTAAATGAATAAAAGTTAATTTCTTTAAAATTTTTTAAAATATATTTTTATTGATTTCAGAGAGGAAGAGGGAGAGGGAGAGAGAGAAAGAGAGGGGGGGAGGGGGAGGGAGAGGGAAACATCAATGATGAGAGAAAAGCATTGATCGGTTGCCTCCTACACCCTCCCTACAGGGGATTGAGCCCACAACCCAGGCATGTGCCTTGACTGGGAATCGAACCGTGACCTCTGGTGATGAGCCACACTGGCTGGACAATTTATTTAATTTTTTTTATTTTTTATTTTATTGATTTTTTACAGAGAGGAAGAGAGAGGGATAGAGAGACAGAAACATCGATGAGAGAGAAACATCGACCAGCTGCCTCCTGCACATCTCCCACTGGGGGTGTGCCCGCAACCAACGTACATGCCCTTGCCCGGAATCGAACCCGGGACCCCTCAGTCCGCAGGCCGACGCTCTATCCACTGAGCCAAACCGGTTTCGGCAATTTATTTAATTTTTAATTAAAATTGATGGCAGCCCACTTGTGGTGCACTCAGGGAGGAGGATTATAGAAAAAGTGACAGGAGCTCGCTTTCCTGGCGCCCCGACCACCCCTCGGTCCCATCGTTGTTCCATTCACCACGAGCCTCAGCACTTTCCCTGTGCACAGCCAGGTGTCACTGAGACGCGGCCTGTAGAAAGGGTGTGAGATTGGCCTTTGTGTGCCCGTGTGTACAGCCACAGCAGGATCCTTGCCAGGAATCGCTGGGTGAGGGGGTCTGTTTTGGACTTGGTCGCTGTGGCTCAGTTGCCCTCCTAACGGGGACCCGTCCACGGTCCCACCACAGCGACTGGGCGTCTGTCTTCCCCCTCCGCAGCGATTGATCTCACAGACTTTCGACACTCTGCTAGCATAAGAGATAGGACATTTTTATTTTTTATTTTCATGAACCGTAAATGAGGTGGAATACTGTTTTTTAAAAAACTAATTATCTTGTGATCTCTTTAGAGTTATTTTAAAGTCAGTATGTAGCCGTTTAATTTACAAACGCCTCAGTTAGCACGGGACTCGAGCCCTGGATGGTGGAATCGCCGCTTACTCCTCCTGCTTAGACATCTCCAAGTGGCTGTGGCTGAGGTGGCCCTGAGAGTGGTCGTGTGTCTCCTTATTTGTTTTAAAGATGCGCTGGATGAAGACCTTCCACGCGTCAAGCCCGGATCACCGCCTGCCCCAAACGGCTTCCGACAATACGGCAGTCGCCCCGCATCTCCCGGTCAGGGGCGGGGGCCGTGTGGCCAGGACCCACCCACCCAGAGCCGGGCGTCTGCGCAGGCCCCGCGTGCGGGGAGGCCCCAGGCTCCTGGTCCGGGGGTGCAGGGTGACAGCGGCCCTGGGTACGAGACAGACAGCAGCCTGGACTCTCGGGGTAAAGGCAGCAGCCGCCACAGCAGGAGCAGGAGCCGAGGCTGGAAGCCCATGAGAGAGACCCTGAATGTCGACAGTGTCCTCAGCGAGAGTGAGAAACGGCAGCACAGTCCACGGCACAGGCCGAGCGCCAGTCACACGCCCAGATGCAGGGACCAGAGCCCCAGCAGCTGGCCCCCAGGGCCGCCGAAGCAGAAGTGCTTGATGACCATCTACGAGGATGAAGCGAGGCAGGAGCTGGGCAGCAGGCGTTCCCTCGACGGCCCGGGGAAAGGCCTCACCGAGACGGGCGTCCCTGGCGACGCCTGGCAGGGGCAGAGGACTGAGTCCGACTACGAGAGCAGCGACCACGTCAGCAGCGGTTCCGCCAGCCTGGACTCGCCGGGTGTGGACGGCGCCGGGACCGCGGAGCCCCTCAGGTAGTGCAGTCATGGGAGGGAGCGCCCCTCCCCAGGCGCCTCCTCAATCATTTGAAGTGATTTTCAAAGTCCAGGGTCTGTTCAGTGTGATGGAAGGAGCTTGAGCTCAAAGGAACGACACTGGGACACTGCGGGTCGTTCGATGTTTCAGGTTCTTATTTTCAGTGGTTATTTCCAGATTCCAAAACACACAGCTGTGTAGGAAACGGAGATTATAGAAATACATTCTCATGGTCGCATTGAAAGCTGTTGAAAGGTGCTACAGGTGCAAAGCGCAGCTCTGAGTGGGTTGCTGCGCGGCCATGAAGCCAGTTGTTTAATTCTTGCATCTGGTTCATGCCTGTTCTCCCGCCTCTGGCATTTGTACCTCGGACACGGGGGTATTTTATGCTCACAGCCTGCCCGTGGAGACACAGTTTCCTTCAGCAGATGTGGAAGAGTGCAGCCACCCCACTGGGTTTGTGCTCAGCGATTCTGAGCGTGTGGGGTCGCTGTCCTGGTCCATTGCACTCGGGAACCCGGGAACCCTGCCCCCAGCCTGCTCAGCGGCTGGCTTCCTGGGTCAGCCTATCGACTTTATGCTTTTAGTGCATCCAGAACATTGTGCTTTGATATTAGATGGTGCTTCACCACCTTCATTACTAAAACGCCAGATGTGCAGAAATCAGCTGCTTGTGTTCCATTAACAGCCGGGAACTTCTTGTCAGGCAGGGGATTTCAGCTCCTGGGGATGAGTAGCTTAGGGTGGTAGAGAGGTCGGGGCTTCGTAACCTTGGGTTTTACTTATTGGGCAAATTAACTTCACTTCCTCGCCTCAGTCTGCTGTAAGCTGCGGGTGAGAAGTGCTGTGAGTGCCCCGGTGAGAGGCAAGTGAAATCATGTGCGTTAACACCTAGAACCGCAGGTGGCGTTTGCAATCGCTTAACGAGTGTTGTTTTCTTTCTCCGTCTCAGAATAAACTGAAATGGTAACTCATGGCAGCTGACGTGTCCCATGTGTGTTTTGTTCTGTTTTTTAGTGACCAGAGTAAGACAAGCAACCGAAATACAGAACGTGTGAACTGTGTCTCCCAGCAGAGTGAAAACCACCTGGAAGGTAACTTTTCATTTAAATAGATTGTAATTGTGCGCATCAGAGTGATGACGCTAAAGCGGTCCTGTCAGGAGAAGTGATGAGCGATGATTTGGAGGTGAGCCGGAGCCCGTGCTGGGAGCCTTTGCAGGGACGGGAAGGGAGTGTTCACTCAGGGCGGCTCCCGTCCTCGGCTGGACAGCGGTGAAGACCTAAAGGTCCCCGGGTTCATAAGCGCTGTTTCCTTGTTCATGTCCGTGTGCAGGACGGTCAGCCTGCTGACTGACCCAGGTGAATCACAGGGGCCCCAGCGACGGGACCCCCATCGGCACCCATGCTTCTCTGACCACGGCTGTATGGAGGTGGGGGTGCCCCGAGGAAGAATCACGTGTTAGTTCCCAAAGCTTCGCCCAGGAGTGGATTGGCACGCCACGCCCATCTCATTGGCCAGGCAGGCCTCCGCCACAGCCCTGATTGCAGAGGGGAAGGGCCATGTCACATGCACAACACCCGGTGTCCACCACAGGGTCAAGGACAAAAACTGTCAGCAACTGTGGGACAAGCTCAGTCGGAAACAGTGGGCACTGGTGCGGTCACTCCGGTGCCTGTGGCGTGGGTCACTCCGGTGCCTGTGGGGTGGGTCGCTCCGGTGCCTGTGGTGCGGGTGTGGGTCGCTCCGGTGCCTGTGGTGCGGGTGTGGGTCGCTCCGGTGCCTGTGGTGCGGGGTGTGGGTCGCTCCGGTGCCTGTGGTGCGGGTGTGGGTCGCTCCGGTGCCTGTGGTGCGGGGTGTGGGTCGCTCCGGTGCCTGTGGCGTGGGTCACTCCGGTGCCTGTGGTGTGGGTCGCTCTGGTGCCTGAGGCGCAGTCCACTCCTGTGCATTGCTAGCAGCCAGAACTTGCAGTGCTGTCGAGGGGTCCCTGTGTCTGGGAGGCTTGCGGGAACCATGAGCAACTACTATTGAGGTTGCAGGGACCAATAGTAGAAATGGTAAAATTCAGAGGATTAGAAGGAATTTAATTTTTCAAAATAAAGAGTAGCCATAAAAAACAAACTTTAAAGTGTGTTTTCAGTATTTATCCTCCTGAAGGCCTGTGGAGACCATTGTTCAGGTGGCAGACTTGAACATGGCTAAGCGCTAACTTATTTTGTTTCCATCAAAGGGTATGATATCAGAAGGAAACACTGATATTGAGGAAATAGCCTTCCTTTCCCATGTAAATGTCTCGCCTGTTTAACACATCTGATCACGTCTGGTAAGCGAGCATTACAGGAAGCAGCGAAGGGCTGGCCAGAGGCCGCGGCCGAGGTGGGGAGCTTGAACAATGACCCCAGTTCAGGGTCTTGACAGAATGGCGCTGGCCTCCCGAGAGCATATCGCACAGGCCGTGGGGCCTGCGGTCAGGAGCGCGCTGCCGTGAGAGCGTGAGAGTGGGCACTGGTTTCCCATTGAACACGAGAGAGTGGGCATGTAGCCCACTTAGAACAGTGTTTTTAAATATATTTTTATTGATTTCAGAGAGGAAGGGAGAGGGAGAGAGAAATGTCAGTGGTGAGAGAGAACCATTGATTGGCTGCCTCCTGCATGCCCCCTACTGGGGATCGAGCCCACAACCCAGGGATGTGCCCTTGACTGGAATTGAACCTGGGAGCCTTCAGCCCACAGGCCAACGCTCTCTCCACTGAGCCACACCAGCCAGGGCTGAAACAATTCTTATGGTGGTAAAATACGCATGACCTTGGCCATTCTAGTAACCACTTTTAAGTGGCAGCTCAGTGGCATAAAGTCCACTCACATTGTTATGCAGCCCACACCTCTCCCATCTCCACTCTCTTCTCACACTGAAGCTCTGCCCCCATCCCTCCCTCCCTGCTCCTCCCAGCAGCCAGCTTGCTTTCTGTCTCTGAACTGGACTAGTCTAGGCACCTCAGAGAAGAGGGATCGAACTGACTGTTTTGTGACTGGCTTATTTCACTTCACATAATGTCTTCCGGTTTCATCCCTGTGGTGCCTGTGTCGGAATTCCCCTCCTTTTCAAGGCGGGGTAGTTTCCATTGTGTGACCTGATGCGTTTGTTTATCCACCCGCTTGCTGTCGGACATTCGGGCCCCTCCACCTGTGGCCGTTGGGAGCAGCACTCCTGTGAGCCCGGGGGACAGGGACCTGAGAGTGCACCCGGCGTGGCTGCTGGGTCCTGAGGGACCATCCCAGCAGCTGCACATTCCACAGCCCTGCAGTGCACGGGGTGCCCGCTCTTCACCCCTCCCAGCACCCGTATCGTCTGGGCTCCTTGATGGTTGCCATCCTAATGGG